CATTAGAGACTGTTTAGGACAGTTATAAGTTGAGAAGATGCTGAACTTAGTCTGAAAAAACAAAACAGTTCAGTCACTTCAACATGCGTCTGTATTTAAAGAATATATTTGCTAATTACATCAGTCCAAATCTTGACATTAAAAACCCAGTCAGTTAGGATGTTTTATCTGGATTTCACAGTTTTGCTGGCAGTTTTTGCAGACTTCCTAGTCAGTTTCAAACAGCAACTAGAGTAAACATTTAGTAGTATTTAGGAAAACATCTTTAGACTTTAACAATACTAAATATGTCACAGGATCTGATTTCATTATTTCTCTCTACATACTTGGATATAAACTGGATTTGTTTGCATTGTAAAGTGCATTGAGATGGCATTTATAGTAAAACTGATTCTTGTCATGCAGTAAATGGACAGCTGGTGCATGACACATATCTCAGCCTTCTTTTCTATCCTGCAAAGACATTAAATATGACTTTCAGATACTATTTGTCAGCTCTAGATGTTTCTTTAGTTTTACATTTCTTCTATTTTCATTTACTTGTCCACATTCTTTTTTATATTAGAAACAAACTCCATAATAAATTCAAAAGGACGAGACAAATTTGTCCAAAATAAACTTTTAAAGACCATCAGAAAGCTTGAAGAACAACTGATCAAGACAACTTACAAAAAATACAAAAAATAGCTCCTTAAAAGCAAAGTATAAAGAAATTGTGGTGGATTAAGACTTTTGCAGAGAGATGTATAAATATGGAACAACAGAAGTTAATAAGAAACCCAGCTTTGCAGTGAACCAGAACTGGTGATCCATCTGGACTTGTCTGCTGTATCCAAGTACAAACGGCTGCTCCTCTAACAGTGACAGGCCTACTGCTATGTCACTGTGCACTTTTACTCAGTCAAGCCCCGCTGCAATAAGAGAAGTGACAGCAGCACTCTGTGTTCAGCCTCTTCCTCTATGGTGGCTCTATCTTGTGATCCTAATCTGACCACCTCCATCTTAGAAGTGCATCAGTCTTGAAAACAGCATTTGAACAGAACTGCAAGGCAAAACAGAGAAGCTCCTCTCCTAACCTGACTAAGTGAGCTCTGCATATTCCAATTATACAACAGTTTCACATAGTGCACAGTAAAGCAAGCAGCAGTTTAATGAAAACTTTTCTTACACTGACAGTGTGCACTCCAAATTTCAGAAATTATTTCACAGTAATGAATTGACATCTTTCTTTTTCTCCCTGCATTTACCGTTTCTTCCATTTCCATAAACAGGAAGTACAATAAATCTGAACATTTTTCCAAAATAAAAGCTGCGTATCTACACATATGTTTTGCTTACGTTGTTGGTGAGGAAGCGGATTGCTATGCGGATGATGAGAACGGCCCAGAAGATATGGAGACACTGCAGAACCATAAGCAGGCCATTGAAAAAGTAGTAGCCGAAGAAAGGCGGGTAGATGGTCACTGGGTAAACCCAGGTCCAGTAAATGATCCTGAAACACACAGAGAGGATCAGGGAGGAGGAAAACAACATTCAGCTGGTTAAAATGTGTGAGAACAGTTTTAATCTTATAGTCTTTTACTTTTCAGTTTTAGTGCTACTGTTGTCTCGTTTTTATCTATCAAATACTGTTTTTGAATATAGCTAAAGTCTACATTAATCTTAGAGACGTGCTCTGTACTTATACTGAAGATCAAAAATGTGTGTAAGCGTGTGTGTGTTTGTACCAGAAGGGGAAAAAAATGAGGCGTGTGACGATAAAGACTGCAGCAAAAATGATGAAGATGTAGTTACAGGCGTTTCTCCACCCAGCATAGTTGAACATCTTAGCAGACTGTCAAAGGAAAAAGAAAGAGAATGATTCACAAACAAATGTAAACACATGAGCCGAATGATTATTGCTAATCTCTTTAAAAGCAAATAAAACTTAAATGCACGTTTTCAAACACCAGGTGGCAGTGTCAGCTTCTTTGCGTCAAATAATCCTCTGGATGGAAGTGGCTCATAAATAAAATTAGCACATATGAGATGTGGTTCCTGTCTATTATCAGGGTTCCTACAAATTTTCACATTAACATTTCTACATTTTTCTGTGTGTTTGTACAACATTATGGGCAGTTAAGTAGAAAACATTTACTAAAGTCAGGTTTTACCACTTCTTTGCTATCCTCAATCTTTAAAAAGAAAATCTCAAACTTCTAGATTGTAGTATCCATCACTATGAAATGATGCTTTATAGCAGACAGGTATTTTTTTTATTTTCATTGTTAAAATTCAAGACTTTGTTTAACCTGGAAAATGATCAAATAAATCAATGTGTTTCCAGTCAGCGCAAACCTTTTATCATGTATTGAGTAGCGATGAAACACTGGAGGTAAAATGTTGTCTGACATTCAAAAATAATCCAGTGAGGGACATTTACCTCGAGGAAGTAATCGGAGGAGTCGTGCACCAGCATGATTAGAGTTCCAGCACGGATGTAGTTCACACACCAGGAGAAGCTGATGAGGAGGATGGTCGCTACGTGATGAACTATCTGCTCTTTAAAGTCCTAAAGGGAAAGCAGGGAAATTATTCGCTCGGGTCATGAGAGAAGGAAACGTTTAAATGTGTGTTGCATGTTAAAAAGTTGTTGGGTTTAGAGCGAAATCCTGCTTAAGATTATTTCAGATTAGACCAGGGATCTGCAGCCTTTACAATACAAAGCGCTATTGAATAAAACTCGGTCAGAGTCGCAAATGTTACATGACCTTATAAAATAGGACAAATTACTATAATAATAATAATGGCGTTTGAAAACGTTATAAATCTAATTGATTCAATTTGCTGCCATTTTTAATCCACCATTTCATATCTATTTTTTTTTATCTAAAATACATGAAAGTATTAAAGTTTAGCAAAAGCCTTAATGCTATGGGATATTAGTAGTGGTGAAAAATTATGCAAACAAAAAAGCACATAGTTTCCGACGTAAAGTCAATAATAATAGATCTAAACATATATTGGTGGTGCTATTGCTGTCAGTCTGTTGTGGATATCCAATGAAAAAAAAAAAAACATAAACTGCTAAAACCTGAATTTGTGTTATATCCACATTTAACAACATGAGTTGGTTCTTTGACGTTTTTAGCCAGACTTATTAAGAGTCAACATGGAGGGTTTAAATGGCCACTGTAACGTCGGAGCCGCAGGTTTCAGAGCCCCGGTTAGACGTGTGGTGTTAGAGGAACAATCTGTGCCTCTTTTGCAAGACTTTTTTTTCCCTCTGCTCTGCACAGCTGAGCAGGCAGAGCATAGTCCAGCAAAAACACAGAAAAACACACGTGTAACAACAGTCTAATGTCCACCCACAGTCCGCAGATGTGTCACAGCTCAGATCATTCAAAGGTTATAGAGGTTTTCTCTGAACATAATGTAATAGCAGCACACAAAAAGAAAGCAAATATTACAAGTTATGCTACAAGAACCTACGACATTAATTCTAACTTTAAGTATTTGTTGGTGTCTGGACTCCACAGAAGCAGGATCTTGAGATCATCTCCAGATTTCAAATTGACAAATAGTTTGGGTCACATGTTTGTGCCACTCTTACTTTGTGGATCCGGTGTTGAAATGTTTGGGAAACCCTGTGCAAGTAGACAGTTTCTTGCAATGTCTTTCATTTGTTCTCAGAAGAGAAAACTGCTGCTGAAATATATTCACTTACTTTACGTTTGACGTCAGAAGCCACGCTGAAGAGCAGAGAGCCGTAGAACCCCAGCTCGATCATGTAGTACCAATACTGAGATGGCAGCAGAGTCTGAACAAGAGAGATGTCTTTAATACATAAAATCCATGGGCTAATGTCATAAATTCAGACTGTAAGAATTAGATTATAGATAAGAAATGCATTAGCCATTTTTTCCCCTGACTGATAAATGAAGAAGTGTGCTTTCAGGTCCCTTAACAGAGGCAGAAATTTCATCTGAAATTAAATGTAATAATAGAAAATTATCCCAATGATGAATCAAAAAATGTGCTCTACAGTTATGTGTATTTTTAAATGCATTAATAGTGAATGAAAGTACATGAAAGTAGGACGAAATATCTTCAGGACGATCTAACAAACGTTTCCTCATTATTGCAAGCAGCTCCTGGAAAGTTATTAGATTAAAGACGCATTTACTGTTTAACATGGTAACAGGATGGTTTGGATTGTTTTATTCCCTTAATAAATCAAATCATCAACTGAAAAGAGTTTCTTTATTTTTTCAGGTTATTTTGGTGTGACATTGACATTTGTTTAATGATCCAAAACATATAAGTGTCACAAAAAAAACAACAGCAAAAAACTGCAGAAGAAATCTGTAAGGAGCAAATTATTTCCAACATAATCTCAATATTTATATTTATTCCCAATTTCTGACTATAATCCATCGCTACACAACCATTTAATGCCTATTTTGTATTTATGCTGGATAATTTGAGTCAGTAATCTGATGCATTTGCTATTCTCATCCCTCCCAGAGACGTACCAGCACAGGAAAGCCTTGCCACATCTCCTTCGTGTCATACAGCCAAGGTTTCTGGAAGGAGAAACGGGACGGGATAATGAGACAGCAGGAATCAGCAGGTGTATTTATATCCACTGACTCAGCACCGGGATGAGTCAGGGCTTCATCTCTGCAAAGAGGCAAAGTTATCAAAGCAAAAAGAGCAGGCAGCTGCAGAAATATACAAGTTACAGCAACGGAAGCACATGATGGATGAGACTTTGTGTGGGTTTACATGAAGAGAAGAGGCAGTACTCACATCGATGAGGGCGGCCAGGCCAGCAATGAAAGCAAGAAGGTAAAAGGTAAATCTCCAACTGCAAGAGAACAAACACACACACACTTTCTCTTCAGTCAGTCGGGGAAAAGATGTTTAATAACTCATCTACCAGGAAACGCATAATTAAGGTGTTTTCACACCAAAACTGCAACTTTTGTCACATTCTCAGCTGGTGCGGTTGGTTTTTTTCCCAAACCAAACCGTTTGAAAAACCTGTTCACCCACACGCCTGTGGGGGGCGCTGCACAAAGAACCACTGAAGAAGACAACACAAAAACCTCAAACCAAGACATGAGGGCAACATCCTTCTTTGCAAAAATGTAAAACAAAAATAAAGTGGCATCAGATTTTAGTCGTAGGATTTAACTTTTGTTTAATAGAAAAAAACAAAAACACGAGTCATTTCTCCTGCTGGAGCAAGCTAGCGTTTGTTTTGACTGTATTTACCCAGAATGCCCTGCGCTGTAGTTTGAGTCCTGCTTTTGAAGCGGCCTCCAGTCTGGTTGCATCCACATATGCTTTCAAAACCTCGACAGAGTTCACTTTCTCCGAGCCAAAACCTGTTTGCATCAGCGTTTGATTGCGCACTCACCCCTTCCCAAACAAATCAGACTAAGTAGACAAACGAACTGGGGTTTGATTAAAACAGACTAAACAGGGCTGTGTGAATTCATCCTTAGATTCCGCACATGGGAAAAATCTGATGAAATACATCATTAATGTTCAACAACGACACGCAAACAAACAAAGCTGGACAAATGTTGATCAAACGGCAGAAATACCAGACAAAAGAGGGAGCTGTTAATATCCTGCTTCAGAGATGGAGCGAGGTCACAGCTCCCTTTGCTCAATCACACAGGTGTGGCGAGAAGGCTTCAGACAGAAAGCTGGAGCAGCGAGAGAGCAGCAGAAGCTCAGTGAGAAAAGGACAGTGAGAGCGAGGGGACACATCAGCCAAGGGGAAGCAGGAAAGACAGAAACCCTGTTGTCCGCACGCACACAATGGGTTGATTGAAAAGAAATAATGTCCTTATGTTGCAACCAACACAGTGAAAGACTCACCATAACCAGGCAGGGACAAACATCCAGTCACGTGCACCCGCCTGCACAAAACCAGACGAATCGTCCGCAGCTCGGATATAACTCACATGCAAACACAAATACAGCTAAAGCGATGACAGAGTCCCTGACACAGCTGAGGCCGTGTAGTAAATATGTTTATAGCTGGAAATGCTTGTGGGGAACCGGGCCAGAAGGGCAGACTGGCACGGTTCTGAGTGCAAGTTAAAAATAGAGGATTCACTTCGAAACCCAGAAATTTGTTTGTACATGCAGCGGGTCTGGTTAAGGTCAACGGTTGTTTTAACCTGGTTCGTGTCACACAGCTGGGCTCCAAACTTTACCCACTGTTATTAAAATGTCAGGTCACAGCAACTCTGATCAATCACCTCTGAGTTTCCTCCACCTTTAAGAGTACATATAGTAAGAGCAATTAGAATATGGAACAGATAAAAAGCTCAATAACCTGGCAAATACTTTGTTCTAGCACTTTGTGATTTAAAAACAGGATTCAGTTTTCTCTGCCAGGAGATTATCAGCCAATTACGTCATGATTTAGTTATATTTGACAACTCTGGCTTATAAAAGGACATTTATATTTAGTTCTGTTATTTGTTTTTGTGCCACATAAAAAAGTGGCATCATTAAATTAAAAAAAAGTGAATTCTTACAACTCTTATTTTGACAGATTTTTGCTCCGACTCCTGCTAACTACAGCTTAGCTAGAGAATAAAAATAAGGACTTTATTCCCTCAACAATTGACCGCACTAGTGAATTTAATACGCTGAATGCTGGATATGAATCTAAAGTTGCTTCAATAAAGTGTTAGTTTGAGGTTGAACACACCTCCGCAGCCAGGTTACGCACCTGAATCGCATGGGAGATATGTCACATTAGATGTGAAAAAAGGTTTTGGAAGTTTTTATCCAATGCTTACTTTTTATCAGCCCTACATCCGAACAGACTCTTAAGAACAACGATGTATCTAGAAAAGAGCACGCTCGTGTTTTTACCTGGCTTCTCGGAACTTCTTGAGCAAACTCGGTCGGTCCTGGTTCCTCCTCCGTCTGAACCACCGCTGCACTTGTCTTTCTGAATAACCCGTCTGTTTGCAAAGGCTTGCTATTGAAGACTGAACCAACAAAAGGAGGTTTGATTTTTGGTATTTTCCGGTACTTCACATCCTACAGCGCGCTCAGTGTCACGAGAGTTACCTGTGTTGGGTTTTTGGTCACTCTACAGTAATAGGACTCGAGGGAGGGGATGTGAGGCGCTTTGAGCCGAACCGTCTCTTTCACGCCGAGTAGAGAGGCCAGAGGTGTCGCCACTGTCCTGGGATTAAACAAGGGATTAAAAAGGAAGGACATTTTTTAGAAGAAATAGGTGAAATGAATGGAAATCAATGTAAAATCTAACCCTAACCCACAGATGATAAATGAAAGTATTATACAGGATGTGTACTGATGGTACAGGATGTTTACACAATATTTCTGGAAGCTAATTAATTACATTCAATAAATATCTGGCAACATAACAAAAGACGGAAGCAGAAAAGATTATTTTCCACATCTGACAGATAAAAGTTAATGCTTTATATAACAGACAATGAGGATTTTTACCCTTTTCTAAGTAACCGGATGAACATTTCAGCAATAAAATGCTCAAGCTAGGAGCCTAAAAATCAAAAATCAAAAATATTCAGAATGGCATTTCCAAAGAAGAATTATAAAAGAAAACTGTTTCCTTTGAAACACGTTTTTATTTTAATGTTAAATGTCCTCAGAGGTCAATGACGATGTGTTTTCCCTCAAATATGTACATACTTCTCAAAACAGATAATTTTTATTATGTAAATAGAAAAGTTATAAATAGAACCTGAAACCACATGAAAAAGGAGGTCTAAGAAAGGACTAAGAAAAGTCTGACTGGATCCAACTTTTAAACAATAAAATCCTATTTTTCAGACTATGCAGGAATCTAGAACGGCATAAAAAGAATAACTAGCTAATGAAAGTAAATGTTGTTTTTGATTGTCTGCATTTTATTCTAAATAGGTTTTAATTCATGTTATTTCTGAAACATTGGGATCCACGTAGAGGCATCTGGAGAAAACAATCTAGTAGTTGGGAACTAGGGGATGTCTGACAAAAAAGTATGTTTTATAATTAAATTAAAAACATTGCAAATTTATGAGCAACTGTGAGCAGCAGCTTTATAGGTTCATGCAAATGTTACAACTGTCTCCTTTGCTGTTTCTCTTATCACGTTTCCCAACGTTAGAGAAGGTGAGAGGGAAGGTAACAAAAGATAAATATAATGAAAGTAATAATTAATAGTGACTTGACAAACATAAGCAAGTGAAATATATGACTGCGAAGGGATATAAATACTGTTTTAAGTTGGAGATAAAAGAAGAGATAGCCGACCAAGAAAGTCACGGACAAAGCAAGGAGAAGGTAGAAAAGGTAAAAGAACAACAAAAGAGGAAGACAGGGATAAATGTGTGAACACGGAGAAAGTAAATGTTTAAATTAAACACAGCTGAGGGTCACAGGTAGGCCAGAGGACAGAGTGAAAGATGGACTGACCTTTCAAAGATTTGCCGGATAATGAGGAATACCAGCGCAATGGGAAGCGCCACCCATAAATCACGGCCCTTCGCGTAAACTCGTCCATCCCGATCCTCCAGGTCAGCCCAGCCCAGACCCTCCGGAAACCACAGCCGCTCCTGCCAGAACCACTCGCTCAGCTCCACCAGCATCCTGAAGCACCAGGACTCTGCACCACCCTTATGGCTTTATCAGCCTGCAAATATAAGTCAATTAAGCTTAGAGACATGCGGTAAAGGACAAGTGAAATCTTCATTATGAGACAAATGGGGAAAATACAGTGGTTTAACTTTGGTTTTATTTGATGCTCACTGGGAGCATGTACATATTTCCTAATGCATATAACGGAGCACAGAGACATATGAAGATCCACCTCAGGGATGAGCGAATGCTTTTCCTTCACACCTCCACGATGAACTCGTGAATAGAGTCATCTGCGATCGCTGCTTCTTTCTCTGACGTAATGATGAATATTTCGGCTGCTATGTTCAGGGAGTGGCAAGAGAGTAAAGGGCTGGCTGCAAAGTGAGACGGTACATCTGTGGGATGTGAGTCATAACTCATCTATAAGAGCAGAGCGAGTGGGGCCACCGTTACGCACGCCATCAGCGGAGTCCCCTTACAGAGCTACAGCAACTCCCACTCCTGCAGCTGCAAATGCCAAAGCCGTGTAACCGCCTGGCTTCCACTCCCATTCCCACCCTGCTGCTGCTGCCGCCGCTGCTGCCAGTAACTGAGGAGGATTCCCCCTTTGGCTCAGAGAAAGGCAGAAACATTTCTACTGCTCTTATTTTCATAACACGCCCAATAACACACATAATGTTATTGATAGGGCAGGAGCGTCAAACTAGTTTTCTTTTAGGCGCCATGTCAAGATCATGAATGTTCTCAAAGGGCCGCTTGTGCCAGGACGTGTTGATAAAACCCATCAACAAACTGTTAAAATATTAATAAAGAGCTGTCTCTGCCGTCGATAAGTACCTATTAAAATGAAGTAATGTTTTCACAATCATCGGTCTCTCCAGGATTTCAATATTGTTTTTATTTTTTGCAGTGGAAATAGCTGATTTTGTGGATTTAATTTAGTAATTTAAAAATAAATTTTGCGCATTTACCATCTTTTTTTGGAAGATGGTAAATGTGGCTTTTTGTTGCTCTCCACTTTAAACACAGACTATAAGTTGATATCAAGTAAGGCTGAGGCAGCAGTGTAGCTGAAGTAAGAAAGTTAGCAGCCGCATAACTCCAATATTTCCAACCCTTTTTGAAGGAAAATTTGCAATAAACTCACAATTATGCAAAATATATAAACCGCTTTGATATAATTGATAAAATAATATTTAAGCACACAACTGTTATCTTCATGGTTCTATTTATGTGTCAGCTTGGAGTCCGGAGGGCCATATAGAAACTATAGCGGGCCAGATATGGCCCCCGGTCCTTCAGTTTGAAGCATTTAAAATAGTGAATAAAAATGCATTAATGGATAGCAGGAAAGAAACTTTGACTATGTAAAGACACAAAAGACACAAAACACAGGAATGCAATATCAACATATATGAATGTTTTCGCATTTTAGCTAAATGATGTAATGATAATAATAAAGCTGATTCTTCTGATCTGGCTACTGCTGTAAAAGGTGCTATGGATGAGTGAGTGTGTTATTTTCCACATACAGTCATGTCAGTCGTCACAATCCCTCTATCCTGTTGCAAAAACCTTGGGCTGCCCTATTTTTCCTTTTGGAGAAAGGGGAGGATGACATATTTTTTCCCTATAATTTTTCCAGTTCTTCCACTTCAGAGATTCAACATCTGACTTTTGGTGGTCATGCATAATGCATTTGAGTGCAAAGATAGCCGCAGAAAAAGGTTCCTCGCAGTCAAACCTCAATAAGACAAGTAAAAATCAGCTGTCCAAAGGGTGTTTGATGTGTGGAAATGATAGCGACAAAATACTCCAAACTCCTGCAAAGTGTGTTGGATACAATTAAATGTAACAAGCTGGACAAACACGCCACAAAGTGAGCATGAAAAATTGACAAATACACAATGAAGCCAAGAAAAATGTTTAAAAAGTCACACTGTCCGGAAGCATTGCAACATTTTAGCATTTTGCAAACTCCAGGAGAATATTTTTAGGGTCGCTTGTTTAGGTCATCCATTGAATTCAGCATGTTTAAGCAGTTCTTCCCCCACAGCTTCCCAAAATCCTCCTGCCATTGGTCTAACAGATCACATGACCAGACTCTGACCATTTCAAAGGTCCAATAAAAGTAAAGAATGCCTCCAGCGGGTGGGAGGGAGCAAGGCGGTTCTCCCTCTCTCTCTCTATGTCAGACAGACTTTCTCTTCCACACTATACACTGCAAGCGTCCGATGACTGTAAACAGTGATTTCACATCAAGCTGGCTGAATGTCATTCCAGATATTCCTGAATCCTGGGGTTTATACACCTATAATGCTTACTCTGATAAAAAGCATCAAACAGAAGTTAGGAGAACCTAAACAAATCCAAGAAGAACGTGGCACAAAGTCCAGGAATATTTAGAGAATGTAAACACGCTGGCACCAAACAGAGGAATCACTCCACTCCGTCCCCATTTGCTCCCCTGGTTCATAAAATCATCCGGTGCTTTACAGTCCAATGAGTATTGGAAGGCAGGAAGCTGAGCAAGTCAGGGGAACCATAAGTCATAAGACTAACAATGTGCTCTGACTGTGACTCACTACTACCAGACCATCTGTGTTGTACAACCACATTTAGGATGCTCACTTTGGAGGCTGAATCATTCAAACCACAGCATTTAGCAACCATCAGAGGAATACAGATTCATGAGAGAGACCAACACCATCTGGGTTACGAGTCCAAGAACAGAACAACACAGGAACTGGGAGACTGATGCAAGAAAAGCTTCAAGAGAGCACAATAAAAACATAAACCTACAAATTGCCAATAACTAAACAGATTACAGCAGAGATGTCCAGTGTCATTCAGATGAATGCCATGTCCTGGGTTTATGCCCAGCATTAGCCCTCTTCCTTCCCCTCCCATCCCTGGTACTGGATTCAGGAAGTGGTTCAAATACTCTACAGAGAAACGGGACACTCCTTCAAGAAGCACGATCAGTTCTCACTATTACATAACCACATGTGACTTAATATACCAATATGTGTTGTGAAATCACTTGCCAAGCAGGCACTTACCAAGCAGGCACAACACGCTATTGTTACGCCTGTAATGGAAGAACAAAAATTTACAGCCAGATGTAAGGCTTACTGTATTTCCGTTTCCAGTAATGTATTGACAATATGCTGACAAAAAAAAAAAAAAAATACTATGTGTTTCGAAGATGTTCTAAAATAGCAGACTTTTAATAATCTCCAAATATACATAAGTATAATCAGTCTGAATGAGAGTTGTTATAAATGTGAATGAAATTATACTTTGTAGACAGGTTCAGTCTTTAATTTTGACATTTTAAGCCAATATTATGTTATTCCAGTGTTTCATGATAAATAACTATTTGTTAAAGAACAGTGTGAGGACGGGGACGTTTGTGAATCCGGGTAGAGGGTTGCAGACCTTACACCTGCAGCTGAAGAGAGAAGAGCTGGGCAAATTCGAGAGGAAGGGCTATTGTGTGATTTGGTGGGGGTAGTCGCTTTATAAAAGCTGTTGTTGAGGCAACACCTCTGATCACTTCGGGCTTTTTGCTGTCAGAAAATATCCCAAAGATATGTGTTTGTATTCAATAAATGTGATTGATTTTTATTTTGACTCTTTTTGTGCTGGTTTGATCCTTCACATCAAGGATCTTTATTGGGTCATAGGTATGTCAAAACTTTAAATATTTAGCGCACTGATGTTTCACTGAGATAACATGTCGGAATACATCTATAAATTACAATGCATGTCCCGTTTTTGTTCTTGAAATAATATATTTTAAAAAGATGAATACTACGTCTTCTCTTGCTTGTAAAGACAAAAAAGAAAAAAAAACATTGGCATACATTAAACTAAGCATTCTAATACTTTCTAAGTAAAACCAACCCAGAGCTTTATGTACAGCTGTATTGGTAACAATATGCTGTATGATAGACCATTACAGTCTACGTTTCTAATCAGACGTTAAGAAGTTGCCAGCGAGAGCTAACCGATGTTTAATAAAGGTGTTGAAATATTAAAGACTCAAAGTCCGCTCAGTCTCAGACCGCTCAGCCTGACCAGCCAGAACCACTCAGATAAGTCTGTAACACAAAAGCTATTTTGCAAACTGATGCACTTGTACAAAAACATCAAACAGCAACGGAGATAACAGCTTCTCTGCTAGGTGATATTAAATCCTTAATGATCTACCATCACCATGTTGCTCACACGCAGGTCGACATAAATCCGGTTTCATTTCCTGTTATATTTTCCCTGGCATTGTACTGAACTCCTGCTGCTCTCCTGTGTTTAAAGCTGATTTAAAACGCCACTACATATACACAGTGTACATAATGAGAGTGGTTAATGAAAAATACAATGTCTTTTAAATAAATTAGATTGAACAGGAGGAATACAGTTTGATTAGAACTGTTCAGGTGCAAACAGATGCTACTGCAATAAACTGAACTTAATGAAATGAGATGTAAAAAAAAAACAAAAAACAAATAAATAAAAGCTGCATAGAAACTTATCAGTTGCTTCATAAATGGGAACCATAAATAACAGCACAGGTCGTTAACTTGCAATGGATCATTTTTATAGCCCATGAGATTGTGATTAGTTTGTTTCTAAAGCATGTAGTGATACAGTAATTAGTGTCGGTGCAGTCTGAAATTGAGATTTTAGTTTAACGATTGCAGTATCAAGGTACAAACTGTCGTTTCAAAGCTTTTAAAATGCGAATATTTAGTATTTCTGTGCAGCAAAATGCATTTGTGTAACAGGGGGAGGGAGAAGAGGAGAGGGCAGCCGGCCATGCTCTCTGCTGCACATGGTCCGTTAGCCCTAACTCAGGTCATGCTTTAAGCATTTTCCAGCAAGGATAAATGATCAACACGCATCCCGCCCACATTTTAGGAATTCTTTGGGAAAGTAACTCAAAAGACATGGAGATTATTTCTCTTACAAAAAAAAAAAAAAAAACATTCAACAGATAATCTCAGTGTGTAAGTGGCAGTCTGTGTTTCATCATCCCAAAGCAGTCGGTTTATTGAATTGTTTCATGACCGTTAGCCTCTCTGCTGTGCTGTGGGTAAACATCACAAAAAAAGTCAGGTTTTAGTGACACTGATCTGTGGCTCTCATGAATTATTGATGCTGCAGGTCAGTCAGTCAGCATGCGGCTGTGAGTGGGTCTGTTTAGGAGGCACTGTCATGCTGAAATGATTTACCTCAGTGGATGCAAGGCCATGGTTACATTTACCTTTTGGTGACTAGTTTTACTCATTCAGCGGAGACCGAATTCCACTATGTTCTACTGAAGCTCCGATTACTCACTGAAAGCAGTCAAAAAGGAAGACGTAATCACAGACAGATCAACGTTCAAGTTGCTTTTTTCGATCTCAGGTTAAAGTAGTTAACTGAGGTGTGGCAAACTCATTTTCATTTTGGGCCATATCAAAGATCTGAATTTTCTTAAAGGACCAGAATGTATTGATAAAACCCATTAAACTGTTAAAATATCAAGAAATGGCTGTTTGTTTCAGTATTCAATAAGCGTTTCTTAAAATTACATCGTATTGAACGTGTTTTTACACTGATCAGCACATCCAGGATTTCGTTAAGTTTTTGTGTGTTTTTTTTCTTTTTGCGATCAAAATCACAGATTTTCTGGCGCTAATTTAGAAATATTTGTAAGGAATTTTTATGATATTTGCGCTAATGTATGGTGTTAAAAGTCACTTTTTATCAATCGCCGCATCAATCACGGACTATAACTGTACTTCAGGTAAGGCTGAGGCCAATTTGACCAATTTTAAGAAAAGAATTGCAGTAAAAGTCTGAAAAAAATGTGGATATCTGTTGATTTTGTGTGAATTTTGCAAACTAACTGATGTAAATTGGAGTCTAAAAGGCCACCTAAAAAGCTAAGGCGGGCCAGATGTGGCTCCCGGGCCTTGAGTTTGACACACGTGATTTAACTCGACTGACTGCTCTTGACTTCAATGCAGAATTTCAGTCAGAATTAATGATTTACAAACACACTGTCACATATTAGGACTAAGCAAATTAGGTTCCATGGATGAATCACCAACTGCTGAGGCTCATTTAAGGAAACTTAGACTTTTTTTTAGACTACTGCTGTTTTCCAGGTATGCCACTCCCATTCTGGTATAACAAATGAACGAGTTATACAATTATTCTTATTCATGTATCAAAGCACTTGTCCCTCACCTTTATATGAAACAAACAAAACAAAGTGGGTCGGAGAAAAATGCCTTTTCAAACCAAAAAGGTAATATGTTGGTCCATCACCTATTTATGTAATAAAACATAAACAGGCGTTTTAGGAGTGGTAAAATGCAACACAAGTTTCGATTATAAGATCTGAAGAAGCTGCTTAAAGGTATTCTCAGAGAATCATTCACAATAATAATAATGCCTTTGTCTGCGTTGTAGAACAGAAATGCAGGTGAGCCTTCATTCCTGCTGCAACAAGGCAGCAGCACAACACCTCCATGTGCATTTATACGTACCACAACTACCATTGTGTTTTATGGTACTATAGTCTTGGTGTGCTGTTGTGATTTTAGGTGCTACCTGCACACACAAGTTTCTCTTGTAGGGATTAAGAAAGTATTTATGAATCTATTTTATTAGTGCTGAAAAATGTCCGATTGAAAAATTATTGTTGAGTGTTGGGTTGCTTTCAACCCACATTTTCTTCAGTCATACCTTAATTTTCTCATTGCAATGCTCCAGCAACTTTTGCTTTGGCTTTGATTCCCATTTGGGCTTCTTGGCTCCATTGAAAAGCGATGGATTAGTAGTCCTAATCAAACCAGTAAGGGTTGGGCTACTTCCTGCTTCCACTGCGAGATAAGAACTGAGATAGCGTTGCTATATGAAAGGGCAAATGGGAGAACTGACCGTCACCTCCAGAAAATAAAACAAAGGTGGGTAATAAAGCAAGAATGTTCACAGCAGGATTTAACAAAATGGAATGTTTCCTAGCAGACCAAAAACCACCTCCTGCTAATGTGTATTTGGGTCAGTTACATCACAGGAGGCACAAGAATTGAGCAGGTCAGCCAGCATTGTTGGACAACATAGCCGGCAAGCTACATTTACAGATTTCCACTGATTATGAAGCGCTGGACGAACATTTTATTATTAAGCCCTTTAGGCTCCAAAGTCTTGACTGATGCTGCTGTGGATGGAGAAGCTAACCCAGATAAAGAGAACGATCGCTTTAGGAACTTTAACTGACGCATATCTACTTATATTCCAACTTGAATTTTTCCATCTCGTTGGATGACATGCATATTGTAAAAATGCTGTATCCTGCGTACATCTATGTTGTTTATAACTGTGGAAAAATGTTCATATTTTACAATAACAATAAACTTTGATGCCTGCAAACACCCCAAACTGACAATATTAGTTGAAATTGTTGTTTTTGATTATTTAATTTAAATATTATTTCTACTCTTCAAATGTACTTATAATCACTGTGAAAATATGCTTAGGTTATATTAATATTTGCCATTTAGCACTACAATTACACTGCAATAATTGGTGTATTGACTATATGTTAATGGGGAAAGTTTTACTTTTACAGCAGAATAATCTATACTAAGAATTGCAAGTACAAACTATTAATTAAACCAGTGGCACACAATGCTGTAAATTATCTATTTATTAATATGTTTATTTTGTGTTTATATGCATAAAATGAAGTCAAATACATAATCTGCTTATATTGCAAACAGTAGTTAGCAAAACTACAAGCTATTCGGCTAGAGGTGGTTTACTCTCATGTGATGTCATTCTCACATTAGAGCTCTGACTTAAGACACCAACTAATTAGCATTAGTTAAGGCCATACAGTGATAATCTCACATCAGGCCAACCCTACTGAAGGATGGAAATGGTTTAAAAAACAATGCAAGTACAAAAAAGATCTGATTAGTGATTAGCCGCCTTATGTGATGTCATCAAAGCCATGCAAGCTTGTTTTTTCCAAAGGGAATCAAGATCTTATTTTATTTCAATGCAAAGCACTGAAAGAAAAAAACAAAAACAAAAAACAGCTGGAACGAAACATTTTGTTACATGTGACAAACTTTATATCAACAGTGGACTTTGTTGCTTTTTCAGAAAAGTGTGGGCAGCAGCTTTACGGTGGCTACTTTTTTTGGGGGGGGAGTTCACAATTGTGGCACTGGAGAACATGTCCCAGTCAAAGTCCATTTAACCATTATATGTGATATAAAAACTAATACATGTAAAAGTCAACAACAGTATAAGCTCTTTTACTAAATTCCACCTATGTGTGTGTTAGCTGAGATAATCTCGTCTGGTTGGCAAACTTTGTTAGCATAGATCAAACACTGAGCCACGCGCCATCATTTCCTTACATTAAACGGCAACGCTTAGAAACTTTACGGCTCCTTTCCAAACACATTCACACATTAATTCCCATGTCTTTTCTCATTATAGTAAGTGAAACAAAACTGCTTTGCTATGTCGCATTAACGGATTCCTTCATGAATGCGTAATGACGTCTAAGCAGAAACAGGATGCAGAACGTAGTCTGCCGCAGCGCACACATTAACGAACAGCTAACCGCTTTGCCGACGTGAAAATGAAACGGTACTTACTTTGGCGTTTTGTTTATTGGAGAACAGAGAAATTCGGTAATTTTCGGGGAAATAAATGTAGTTTCTTTCCTCTCCTCCTCCGTAGTCCGGGTTCTGGAGATCCGGCTGTAAACCTAACGGTTCTTAACGGTGTGTGTCCAGCCGGCTGGTTGAGCTCAGAAAGGTGCAACCGCTCAAGATCCGGGCAGGTCTTTTCATGTTTTCATGGAGTATAAAAGTCAGGGTTGTTTTTTTTCTCTCTCTCTCTCTCTCTCTCTCTGCGGACTGGGGAAAAACTAGAAACCTGCTTTCATAGTGGGAGATACGCGAGGAGCTCCGATGAGAGTGGTCGGATTTTCTTCCAGCAAACGTCCAGGCTGTTCTGTCCCTCGTCGTGTCCCTGCTAATTTCATCCCCCCCCCCCTCCCTCTCTCGTGTGCGGTGTCTGCGTGGGCGTATTATCCGGACAGATGTGCGGGTCGGGCCTGCTGGAGAGAGAAGTGACTGGGATCCGGGCAAACAGAAGGAGGAGTGAGAAGGGGATAACGGGGAGGGAGGGACGCAAATGACGTCCGAGCACGAGGGAACACTTGGCTGACATGTTCGCGTTTTGTTTCCACACCGAGGAAAGTTTTACCTCACTTCTCTGCACCAGTTACTCACTGGTTCCAAGCCATGGTCATTTTACTGTATTTCGGGGTTTTTGTCACTACTTTATAAATTATTTCCTAACTAAACAATGTACTATTAAACCGTATGACTTTTATAAATGAACTGAAGAGATGTCTTTTTACTTTAATAGCTTGTTTCCCAGATATTTTAAATAAGATTCATTCTTGAGTCGACTTTTAAATTAGCTTTCATTAGGAGTTAAATATAGATCCTAAATTAGCTTATTTGATTATAAAATAATTAAAAACATGCCATTCTTTTTTGCTTTTCATAAGTAGCATAACGTGAAATGTTTTTGCAATTTCTAGGTGAAGAACTTTACTTATTGCCATGGTTTGAACAAATCAATACAATGAAATTTGTTGGCAGAAGTGTCAGACAACACTCTTCCTTGAGCAAAATTGCTCAAAGAATGAACATTTACAGTTAAATAAGCAGACGTAGTTAAAAAGCTAAATTATTATATATTAAAGGTCAATGAATTTGTATTAATTCATTATAGTTTCCTTTAATAATTCCATAGGACCTTTGGTTTTGTTTATGCCGTACCCATCTGCATATAGGTAACAGTTTCCTTTTTGGGGGGTTTTGTTTTCCAAACTACTTGAAACATGTTTCATGACCAACAGTGGGTGAAATATGTTAGAAATTGATCTGATTGTGTCATAAATAAAATTCATTTTCAATAACCTTTTCTAATTTTCCATTTCATTCAAGTCCACTTTTATTTCAGTGATGGTACAGAATTATGCTGCGACACCCATTTAAATGTTTGCCATTACAGATCAAGGATGTTTCAGCTTTAGCTGCTCCTTTTACCAACTAAAGCTCTTTTCCCTGTGACCTAAAATTGAAGCCCATGAAGGGTTGTTCAAAGTGCACAGTGACATAAGGTCTACATACAGTGCAGCTTGTAAAATAGCTTTCCCAGATACACATTCGGTTCAGTAGGACAAGCTACGTTAAGCTGCTGTTGCATCATATCTGAGCAGAGACTCGATGTTCCTTAGACTGTTTTATTATGCTGTTATTTATTTCCTTTTCCTCCAAGTAAACAGATAAAACAGTCATTGTTTGATTTCTACTTTGGACTTGGCACAGAGCTGTAAATATGAACTGGTCAGTGAAAGTATGAATTCAGAAAATGCTTTCCTTGCGGACAACAACTTATTCCAGTGTCCCATTGATATTTTATACTTAAAAAGCAGCTGCACAGCAGAGTTTATATTTATTGCTAAACACATGCATCACAAATAGATAAAAAAGTGTGTGCACTGGGATGATGCAACTTAATTCATCTGCAGCTCTCAGTTACAACAACATCATTTGGCTTGCACCCAGTTATTCAGGTCTTTGTTTCTTAAACTGAGGCAAACTGAGATAAGCTTATCCAGGGAAATAAACAGTAGTTTCTATCTTGGTAAGAAGGTAATTAACTCCAATAGTGTTCTCGGAGATAAAGCAAGTGCAGTGTGTAATTTTGCTGATAAACAGTTTGTTATAAATTAGTTCAGAAGATTAGATGCAAACCTCTTAATTAGTGCACTCAAGGTACGCCCCCTTCTGGTCACAAACGTCACATACAGTTGAAAAAAAAAATAAATCCCCCCTCCATGATTTTTGCCAAAAACACAAACAGACACGAACGACAGCAGGCCATTTAGTATGATACCTTTTATTTAAACTTAAAAAGAGTGGATCAAAAAACAGGATTCAATAAATAAGAAATAAATATAATTGCTGTAATAGTTAATAGATACATTATAATTACTCGATTGTAAGAGTCTGACAGAAACAGGCTCTCAAAAGTTTTTCTCTAGAAAATCCTAAAACCAAAATATTGCATTGCCACTCAAACATTTTCTCCCGATAAACAAAATAATTGTTAAATTAGTAAATAAATAAATAAAAAATAGCTCAATTATTAAAACCTCCCGAATAAAAGTGCAACCCCGCCCCCTCCCCTGTGTTTCACCTAAAATCTAAGTAGAAATTTAAAATAGGTTTGTGATTTCCCCATTTTACAATTTGGAATGTAATAGCTTTCTCATGAAGAATGATGATGTCACTAGTTGTATTAATAATAAGAATAATAATGATAATAATAGTTATGTTGCAGTGTTCTGTTCAGTGTTTTATCTAAAGTAGTATTCTTTTTTGCATGTTTTCTTGTTTTTTTTAAATGCTGCTCTTTGTAAACTAAACTATATACAGCTCATTAGGATCCTTTCCAAAGTCTTGCTAGCCTACTCATTTAGCCATCTTTTTTTCTGTATTTTCTTTCTTTTTTATTATGAAACAACGATCCCTCTATATTTGTCACGTAATAGACATGGAATAGACATGTTAAAGTCTACTGAAGTGATATATCATTGTTTTTTTTATCAGTGCCTTTCCTACACATGTGGTCTGAGTTCTCTTAGTTGTACTAAATACCCTTTTCCATACAGACTGTGGTCAAACCAAGCATTTGGCTGTACGGATACGTAATTTTTGTTAACTGTGTGTGTGTGTGTTTTGAGTGAGTGTCAGCAGGCATGTGTTTGTTTGTTTTTTGTGCATTTTATATACATTTCAGCTTTGAGGTTCACAATTAAGGGTATCTCTGCGTATGTCAGTGTGTGTTTGTGTGGCAGCTCTCCGCAGACGCTCACAGGTAGAAGACAGTCTGAAAGCACAATGAACCCTGGGACTTCACCTTCAGTTGGACTCTGAGAGGTCGCCTGCGAGAGGAGTTGGAGGGTAGAGGGAGTGGCAAACGAACGAGAGGAGAGGAAAAGAGAGAAAAAAATAAAAGATTTTGTTAAAATTTGTAGGGAAACTGGAGCTCTGCGTGGGTTTCTGAGCTTCACATTTTTGTCAAACATGCCCCATCCATCCAACAAAGACTCCTGTCTGGGACTCACTGGAGCTACTGACAAACTTGCTGCTCCCCTTTGTACCTTTGGACGCTCCTAGCTTTTTTTTAAATTTCAGTCTCGGAGCATCATTGGCAGATGTCAACATAATTCAATCACGGTGCTTTTACATATATACATACAGTGTCTGGTCAGATCATGCAGTTAATTACAGTAAGTCACTGGTATGCATCCTAGTATGACTGCAACTGTGTGTCTCAAAGGAAAGCATGTGTGTGTCTGTGTGTGTCTGTGTGCGCTCATGAAACTCTGGGAACTCGCATTTATGTGTTTTCAGCATGTGCTGCACTTAGGTGCCCCGGATCATGGCAAGCAAACACTACCAACAACATGCATCACTCTCTGGCATTAGCAGTATAGAAATTCTGGGTGACAATTTAAGTAGAAAAAAAAATGCTCTAACTGCAGGTTTCATTGCCTTAATTATTTTCACTGTCTATATATTCATTTATAGAAGCCTTTTAATCATTAAATATATAAAGCCTTGCAAAAATACTCACACCCGAGGAACATTGTAAAACAGTCGAGACACTGAGTTCCTTCATAAGTGAAATACTAACCGATGTTTTGATGACAGCACTTGGTAAAATGTAATGTTTCAATTGTTGATTTTTGAGTTTTCATGATGTAAAACACTTTGAACTACCTTATTTAATTGTGCTTCAAAAAGAAAATTTGGTTTGATTAATTTGATTGTCACATTTTCTGATGTTACAACCACAAACCTTATTTTTTTACTGGGATGTCAAGTGGCAGATCAGCACCAAATAGTGAACATTTGTGTTATTTTTCATAAAAAAAAAAACAAAAAACATCTGAACAAGTGTGGTGAGCATCGCTATATTTATACTTATATACATTAGACATATACTATACTCTGCATTAATTTAGAAGTATGTCTCCACCAGATTTGCACTAGATCTGGACTTTGTTCGGTCATCCAAACACATGAATATGCACTGATTTAAACCACCATAACTTGGACTGCATTTGCCCCGGTCTCAAATCTTTTGATGCCTTTATCTGTTTTTTTCCCCCCCAGGATTGACCTTTAATTAGCTTCATTCATCTTCCAATGAACACTGACCAGCTTCCCTGCCCCTGCTGAAACATGACGCTGTCCTAGTGAAGGGATGAAGTACAGTGATAGTTTCTTTTTACCAACCATACCAGTGTTAGTTTTAACCATGGCAGCTGTGCAATTTTTAGATCATGGATTAAAAAATTCTCTCCAAGTTGTTCAAAGCGGTTTTAAAACAACCCACAACTTTACCCCTAACTTCTCTGTTGTGTTTCTCAGACTTCATGATGCGTTTTGTTCACTAATCTTTTCTAAGAAAACTCTGAGGCCTCCACAGAACATCTGGATTTACAGGAAAATTAAATTACAAACAGGTGGACTCAAATAACTAATTGGAGCAAAAGCATCAGGTTGCACTCTAGGGGTATGAGAGTTAAAAGCAGTTCGATATAACTGAAAGTCCCACTTTTCACATTTTTATTTGTAAAGATTTTTTTTAGAAACTATGTATTGTTGCCCTTCCTCTTCATAATTAAGCACTACATTGTGTTTTGGGCTGCAATGTGGTAAATTGTGCAAGACTTCTGAGTGTGTGGTTACTTTTGCAAGGCACTGCATGTTACACAAAGTTTTTAAAAAAGTAAAAGTGAAAATCCTTTTGATGCCTCCACACTCTGATCTGACAGCAGCCATGTTGAAGTTTTTAACTCTCTTAAATAAATAAAAAAAAACTCTCCCAGAATTCCTATATTTGAAGGCTGTTCTCCAATGAGCAAGAGGCACTTGTTCTTCCACCATGACAACATCATACCCTTCACCCCAAAACACAAGTCAGAAGGAATAGTATAATGAGGTTGAGATGAAAGAAGCAGATCAACACTTGAAGGAGAGAAAAATGTGGAGAAGGAGAAGATAAGAGAGACAGAAAAAGAGCAGGAGCAGTGATAAAAGATGTAAAGAAGTCTCAGAGAAAAATGGAGGAGCAGGAAAACTAAAGTGCAGCATCACAGTGTAAAAAAGTCACAATCCAAGATTATGAACTCAGCCTATCAGAGTACAGCTCAACAAAATGCATGCTCGCCCATGAATACAGAGCGCTGCAGCAAACAAAAAGGTAACTTGATCTAATTCTTCTTGTTTATGTATATATATCCCATGCGTTGGATCAGTTTGCAGCCACATTCTGGAGTTATGCATACCATAAACATGTCATGTCCTCTTGTCCATCACGGCCTGCCATTTTATGCAGCAACATCCTAAAACATGTATTTTTCCCCTATCAAAGCATCATTCTTGCTCCCTGTGTTGTTGCTGTGCTCGTCTCCACCAGTTTGTTATGGAAAACTATGGACACCTCAATGCAGAAGGCAATGCAACGAAGATTATTCAGTCCTGCATTACACGCTAACAGTGTAACACAGAAACATATGCACACATAGATGTCCACGCTCACTATTTTACCCAAACAATTTGTTCAAATAATAATAATAATAATAATAATAATAATAATAATGACACCAAACAGAACACTACAGAAACTGATCAAAAACAAAGCTGCAAAAAAATAACAAGCTTTGCTACAGAATTTATCAGATAGATTACTATAAAGTGATTAAGTGTATCAAATATCCAATCAGATCAGTTGAATCAGTTGAGTGCAGTCCTGGCTATAGATAGTTATTGATCAGTATGTGCACAGGTCAATACAAAATAAAGTCACAATGCACCAAACACAGTCTGTGATCACTACAGCAACAGGACATGCAGGTCAACGCATGGCTGGTTGCTCGAGGTGACAGAACCAACACAGGCAATAAAATCGCCACAGCAACCCAAACACAGGCCAACCAATCAACTTACAACAATGTGAGAGGAAGGGGGGATCAGGGCTTTATCGGTCACTAGGCAACCATTGCCATAGCGATGGGGTCCTCGTGAAATATGATTGGACGGGAGGATCTTGGGTGAGGTAAGTTGCCGTTTCGGGAAAAGATCAAAACAGCAGGGAAGAAATAAGATTGTGAAAGAAAATAAAAAAAGGAAAACAATATCTCATTATTTTTACGTTTCTTGACACAGGGTGCTTTCAGGAGTAACCCAATGCAAATTTACTGCAATGTCAAGCTTTTTTTCCTGTTAAAAATTTACCAACAGTTAGCTTTTTACTATCATTGCTGTTGTTCCTGAAGTATACTGCAGGTCTTCTTATTTCACCTTTTGTCTCCTCGCCACCACCTCACCTCTCCGTATTTGTTTGTTCTTCTCTCCGTCATCACTCAGTACGGGCGGTTGGCATCTTTGGGCCTTTTGAGCTGCACTTTGAGTCTTTTCATGCCAATCTGAAAGCCATTCATCGCCTGGATAGCAGCCTGAGCGCTGGCAGGGTTGTCAAAACTCACAAATCCTAAAAAAAAAAAAAAGAGATAAATAACATTCATGATAGAGCTATTTTTCTCTCACCTTAGTTTAGATGCAGACATAGACAGTATCTTATCCTACAGAAGGCCAGCCTTTGTGTTTTTTTCACTTGTCCTTCCCTCGCTCTAGTAAACATGCCCCTTCCCTCCCTGCTCCCCCACCCTGTGTGTGTCTCACCAAAACATTTGCTCTGGTTAGTAGCTCGGTCCACGAACACTTTAGCCGATATGACATTGCCAAAGGGCAGGAACATCTGCAGCATCTCAGAGTCACTGAACTCCTGTGGCAGGTGGTAGATGAAGATGTTACACCCCTCTGGACCTGACACACACACACACATACACACACACACACACACACACACACACACACGTAGGACGAAGACTCATAAATTACCTCTCGCTTTTAGAAAACAACCCTAAACACGCTCACTATCAAAAGGGTGTGGCCCCAGCAAGACAGGAAGTCACATCACCTTCTCTTTGCTGCTGTTGCTGGGGCTGCTGGTGTTGCTGAGCAACCAGTGTCGGCTGCTGGGGAAACGGCTGCCCAACCAATCCGTAGGCAGTGGGGTACGCCGCTATTGGAAGAGAGACAGGGGCATTAATGTCTTATTGGGTAATAACAACAGGTGGCAACATGAGCGTGCCCAATAGAGACATTTCCTTTTAACTGAGGGGTTCCCTGTTGAAGGTGAAATCTATTAACTACAGAGCGGAGCAAGTCTACAGAACAAAGACACTGTTGATCCCAGTCTGGTTTGCACACATTGCATCATCGCTGTAATCCCTGGTTATAAACATCATCTATAAATTGAGTCTTTCTGAACTCAGATAAATCATAAAATCAATTACCCTTGAAGATGTTTCACCCTTGACAGCCAGACTAAAGAGACATTGCTTGCATGTTCTTCATTTAATCTCCTGTATGAACCATCGCTTTGAGCAGATGGGTGCATTACTACATGTGCATGACTAGATTCCCAAATGTATGTGTAATATCCATCCATCCATTGTCTTCACATGCTTATCCTTGTAGGTCACAGGAGTTGGTGCCTATCTCCAGTGGTTACTGGGCAATAGGATGTTCATCACAGGCCAATACAGGCAGGACAGGAGAAGCACTCATACATGTACACAGTCATACAAAAAGGCAATTTAGGATAACCAGTAAACCCATTTTGGGAGAACCTGGAAACAACACATTCATGCATCTCTCCAGGTTATTGGTTTCTTCCCACAGTCCAAAAATATGCATTTGTAATTAGTTAATTGGTGTTTCTAAACTTGAACCTTAGGTATGAGTGTGAGCATGCATGGTGGTTTGTCCTGTCGGCAAAATCAATTATCAAATCGATTTATCACTCAGCCCTAAACTGTATTGAATGAGATGAATTTGGACTCAATCTGATTGAATGAAATAAATAAGGAATTAACTAAACTGAATGAAAAGAGCTGGTGTAAAAAGAATGGACTTAGTTCAGTTCAGTTCAGTTTGAATGCAAAGGCTTTGAGGTAAACTGACCTGAAATAATGAATTTGGGATCAATTGAGTTGAATTAATTAATTGGATCGTGTGTAATTGGACGAGCCCTTTTTCCCTTTATAGAGTGCTTTACAAATCTAATCTAATGCAAACCTGTGTAGTGCTGCATGCCTGCATAGGCTTGCTGAAGAGGGTCCAAAGCTGCAGCTGGACTCTGGGCTGGAATAAAAACAAGAAGAGCAGCAGAGATTAAGAATCCAACCAACATGATAATCTACAGTCGAATGCTCTTCCTTTATCAAGCTACCTTGGTATGTGTGAACTCCATTGGTGTACAGCGTTTCTGTTTGCTGTCCATTGGTGGGAGCTGGCACGCTGCTGTAACCATTCACTCCTAATGCTGGAGGGATAGCTGGCACAGGTGTTGCTGCGATAGTTGGTGGAGTGTTTGTACCTGCAGACAAAGATTACGCCAAAACAATTACTTCCTAATAAAGAACAACATATAAAATGTTTTGGTATTTACAAGGTTTTCCCATAGCAAAATCCAGGTCATTTCAAGCATTTTCAAGTTTCCAAACTCTCCAACACCACACTTTGGAGATAAAAACAATACAACTGAACAAAGAAATGCTGTTTTAATTCACTATTATCTATCATTTATCGCTGTTAGTAATAATGTGATGATATTCAATGTTCTTCAGCAGGAACAAGATAAACTAAAATATAGCAAAATTTTATGTTTTAAAATGTCTCTCACACATTTTTACACCTGACTCATCTGAGCCCAAAACACTAATTTAACAAAAAAAATCCCCCAATTTCACTAACTTTGTTCAGTGTATAAGATAAAAGATGATAAATAAATCACTGAGATATAAGGAATAATAAATATTTGTTTCATTAAAACAATCCAAACGAATTGTGTCAAGGTAAATTACCTTCCTGCTCAAATTAAATGCTTAAACACAATATACAAAGTAAAAAAAAAAAAATCTCTAAAAAATGTTTTCACTAAGTTTTCTGGCTTTTAGCAAATAGAAATAATTTAGGAAAATGTCTAGACAAGAGAAGCTTAATCTGATTTATCTTCAGACAGTGAGAACATTTTTTATCTTATTAGGTGTATGCAAATATCTGATTTCAGCTGTAAATATAATTTCACAAATTTAAGCTTTGAATCAAGCAACTTTACTACAAAACTGCGCAGTTTAAGTATAAAGCACGTTCAAGGAATTTAAAATCAAGCACTTTCCAAACCTTCAAAACACCTAATTGAAGTTCAAGAATTTTCAAGGATTTCAAGGATATCTACTCTGCTGAACCTCAGCAGGATGAGAAGATTGGAGACTTTAAATCTTTACACACAGCAACACTGACTTTCCTTGTAAAAGGGTGAAGAGTTCAAACCCTCCAATCCATAATCTAAACGTTTCTTTATAGTTTGGTTGAATAAAAACAAACTGCAGCCTCTCTACCTTAATTCCAGGTACTTATGGAGTATGAAGAGTGTGCATGAGGGGAATTACCCGAGGACGGTGTGATGGGTGTGATGGGTGTTGCGATGATTCCGTTGGCATTGAGTGCCGCCATCTGCTGCATCTGCACGGCAGCAACTGTTGCGACAGGAGACAAGTACGCTGACTGGGCAACCAGGGCCTGCTGTTGGACAAGCTGTAGACGAGGGAGAACGAGAATGGAGGAGAGAGCAAGGGGGTTAAATTGATATGGGAAAAAGAGAAAGAGAGAAAAAAGAAGATGAAAAATGGGAGGAAGGGCCAAGGAGAGGGAGTGATGGAGGAACAGATGAATAGAGATCTAATTACAAGGCCATTATGTCCCAAGTCAGTGGGTTAATGGTTGTGTGTTGCGGGAAGGCTAATGCCAGATGACGTATGCTCTGTTGTCTGTGTAATAACATTAGCTCCAATTAGACCACTGATAGCCTCTTCAAACTTATTACATCCTTTCATAAGCACAGCACTGCCCTTGCAAACTTTGTGTGCAGCAAATGTGAGAGCCGTACAGTTGGCTTTTGTGTGCTTGTGCTTGCCTGTGCGTTGACCGCCTGCGTGTAGGCATTGTAGGCAGGAAAGTTGAGGGTCATGGGGCTGAAGATGCCGAGTTGGGAGGCCACCTGCTGCATCCTCCTCAGCCCCCGCTCCTTCTCCGTGTCAGCAAACTTCACCACCAGACTGGACGACGCTCCCTGTGGACGGAGAGATAAAGTTTACAGTGCTCTCTAAAGGTAAATAGAAGAAAACAGACTCTATGTGTGTAATTTTATCTCAGTTTAAATGCAGCCGTTCTATGAACGCCTCTGACCAGAAAGGTCAGGGATAAAGTTCACCACTGTGAAACATGGTGGTGGCAACATCATGCTGTTGTGATATTTTATCAGCAAGTGCAGGGAAACTGAAGGTAAAAGCTTGTTATGGGTATTTGTGGCATGATTTACAGATTGTTTCCATCCAGCCTGACTGAGTTGGAGCTACTTTGTAAAGAAAAACATTTCGCTTCCAGCTGTGCAAAGCTAACTGAGACATTCCTCATAAAGAGTTGCAGCTGTAATCGCAGAACCAATTGCCAATGCATTTTCTGTAAAATCAATCCAATCTGTGGAAATCCATCCAAATCACAATTATGTGCTGTTTTCAATAAGTTTGTCACTTAAAAATACATTAAATACAACCAAGTTTAATGCATCAACATTTTAAAAGGGTATTAAAACTTTTTCAGGACAGAATCCAAACATTTTACTCAAATTAATCACATTTATGTTTTTAAATCATTAGTAATCGTATGCATGGAGCTTACAGGCATTGTGCGGCTCCCGTGCAGGCTGTTGATTGCAGCTTGGGCTTCGGCATGACCCTGGAATTTCACAAAGGCGCACCCTGCACAACAAAAACAAACACACTTATCAAATTAGTAATCAATGCTACAGCAAATAAAGTTGTTTGTACTATATCTTCCTTGAGCAGTTCAACCTTATGCAATTTACCTTTGCTTGTGCCATCTGGTCCTCTCAAAACGGTGCACTCCTCTATGCTGCCAAAGGGCTCAAACAGCCTTCTGACATCCTCATCACTCTGCTGCTTTCCCAGCATGCCCACAAACAACTTCCTGTCCTCTGAGACACCAGGGATGTGCAGGAGAAAGGAAAACAAAAAGACATAAAATCAATTTATTTGCCCCCAAACTAGTAACATATCTTCTTAACACATAAAGGTTGAAGCTATAGAGGGAAATATACTGTTTCCGTCCACCAGGGAGCAGTGTTGACTACCGAGACTGGTAATTAGAATGGTGAGGTGTCAGTGTGAACGTCTGTGTAAGAGTACTTAGTAAAACCATGTCCAGCATGAAACCTTCTAACATCTATTAAAGATTATCTGAGGTTGACAATTTAAACACACCTCAAAATTGACAAAAAATAAAATATAAAACGGACTCACTGAGATGGCCGAGTTTATAGTTAGGGAAGACATTTTGAAAATGTGTCCTCACAAAAGGAGAAAGACGACTCACCTCCTCGGCCTTCACTGTCAGCTGGTTTGACCTGGATCGGCCGATTCATCTGAGGGACAAACAAAAGAAAACATCAGCAAAGCAGGTCAACATTAAATGTCTTTCAGTCACACTCAATTCAACTCCACGAAAGATATTCAACTGTCTGGTGAGATGTATGCTGTCCTTTAAATATTAGGTTTACTCTAATGATCGATTTATGATGGTAGGTTTTTGGTGAGAAGTTCAGTATTCAAAAAAAAAATTGACTCTAAATTAAGAACATCTTGAAAACTATCAACAGAGGCAAAACCTGAGACATTAAGTGTCAGACTTAAATTTGAAATTATTTTTATTTAAACAAAAATGAAATGAGGTGCCTTAATATTACAAAAGATAGGGCAGAGCCATTTTTTTAGTTATTTGTATACCATGGTTGTGTTGGGAGTAGAGATGCACTCTAAAAGCTTTTCTTCTCCAAAACTGATTTCCAGTCTATTTTGAGGTCTGACCTGCATAGCTGTGATTTAAACTTTTATAAAAAAAACTTTTATAAAAACACATCAATCAGAAAAACAAACTCTGCTACATGTTCATGAATAAAGTAATTTTAAACCTAACAGGAAAGTAGGAATTACAACACTATTTCCACTTATGTCACTAACTTTCATCTGTTTATTTATTGAGCTCCTTCAGATGACATGCTATTAATTGATGTGCTTTAAACAGAGAGGGTTCTTCTTTTTGATGCATTTAATTACTAGGAGAAATATTTTTACTATTTGATCTGCCAATTACTAGTCAGAACTTATCAAAGAAAGAAAAAAAAAAAAACAGCCAAATCCATAATTTCAACCTCAGTAAAAATGCAGTCTAACGAAATACATTCTTTAAGAAATTTGTAGTTTCATTTTAAAATAATTCTTTCATTTCTAAAAAAGAAAAAATCAAATTAAGGTAATGACAACAGTCAGGGTCTACTCATGTATTTTTGTTACTCAAGTATTAAGGTTATGGTTAGATAAGCAGCAATCAACCTTTTCATGACCGACATGGATTCCCAGTTTTCTTTGTGGACTGACCTGACAACTCCAATTTAGAAAGAAAGCATTTTTTCATTTTAAAAACTGTAACAAGATTATCCTCATTTATGCATCAAAAATATGTTCCTGACCTTTATGTGGCTTTTATTCAAGTCAAAAGGGTGCTTTGAAGTCGATGCTGTTAGGTGATGCTTATCTGGTTTGAAAATGGTGGGATTTATTAGTTTTGATATGTTTAATAAATTTACTTTAAAAAAAGTATTTTCCAGTATTTGATCTCCGGATTGAGGGCAAATAGGTCAATTGGCCGACTGGACTGGTGCTTCTCTAGTTAGCAGGTGACATTTGCTTCAAGACTCAAACATAAACAGTCTTTGATTCGTCCCACATACACACACTCACAGACCGGGGGATTGAGAAGTGGCGAGATTAAGAATGCAGGCAAGCTGATCTGGATTACCTAAAAAGTAGGGATTAGATGAGGGACAAGAGAAGGCAGAGACACAGAGAAGAGGAGAAATGAGACAGGGCAGGCGTGGGAGAGAGGGGGAGATAATGTTGTTCAGTGAAATGACAAGTGTGTAAAGGGAACGGGCACAGTCAACTGAAAATAAAAGGATAGGAAAAAAAAACAACTCAGAGGGAGAAGCCTGGGGGACCCCGACTCACATCGACCGCTAGAAAGGGCAGGTGGAAGGCTAAAAGGAACCCCGGGGAGCAAATGGAAAAAGAAGTATTACATGGAAAGTGCGAAAGCGAAAGGCTGAGAGTGGAGGGATGAAAGCAGAGCCTGCCCCTGAGAGAGGATTCAAAAAGAATAGAAAGAGAAAGAGGAGCAGGCAGGCGGACGGGGCGTGATTCAGTCGTGACTCACTCCGTCTAAAAAAATCTCACGACTACCAAGATCCTCTGCCAAGAGTGCTGATGCATTATCCCAAACGCACGTTGCAAACATCCCTCCCATTCATATCTTCTGTACCTTTGGCTCACACAAACAAAGAGAAAAAAAAAAACTACAAAAAAAATAACACTCCACACACACAGTGCTTAGTCATAGGTAGGAGAAAGAGGGATGGGCTGGAGGAGCAGAGCTGCAGAATGATGGTGGCAAAAAGAGGAGAGACGTGGAACGAGGAAGAGGAAGCAAGGTAGACCCAGAGGAGGAGCGGAGGAGAGACGGGACTCAACTCAACAAAGGACTGTGGAGTCGACTCTCCAGGAGGGATGACATAACTTCTTTTTATTTGAATTGTTATAAATCTTGCTGGAGTTTGAGCGAATGTGTGGACTGGAAGAAAAGGACGGAAGATGTAGAGGGAAGGGATGAGAAGGAGGAAGAATGGCTCGGCGTTCCAGTGGGGTGTTAAGGCAATGTAATGATGCTGGTAATTGAGGAGAGGGCAGAGCAGAGAAAGACAGATCCATGCATTTGATTAATCAGCTCTTAGCTGTCACCACAAAACTATCGATCTAGGGCAAGGCCATCCCACACACACACACGCGCACACATGCTAAGACATCATCGCACGCAGATGAAAACACACCTCACATCTCTTCCCAAGAAACACTCACAAATTAGGAGCGAATCATAGAGCACCTTTACTGGAGAAATTCATCCATCCATCCATCCATCCATCCATCCTATTCTGGTCCTAATGTTATTGCTGTCCATCCAAGTTGCCATCCATCAGCTCATTGATCAGTCCCGTCTTGTACATTGATTTGGTCTTCCTTTGTAGAGAGGCCTGATAGTTGCAAGATTTGTGTCCACCAACCTTCTCTCTAACCTTGGATCAATCCATCACCTCTTCAATTTCTTCCTCCATTAAGCCTCGTCTTTGTGCACGTAAAACGGGCTAAACAGAAAACCCCCGGCACTTCCAGTGGAATCACAGCTTAGTGATTAGTGTATATACACAGATATGCAGATCACCTTTCCTAAAAAGCATCCCCACAGCATGATTCTGCCACCGTCAAACATTGGTATACGACTTTCTAATCAACTCTGCTTCAACCTTCTCCACAACTCCCTCCCTGCCATCCCTGCCGGTGTTTCTTTCTGAGTGTTCCCTAACAAACCTCAGAGGAATTCACAGAAAAATTAGATTAGAACTAAGATTAAATTACACACAAGTGGGCTCTATTTACTAAGTTGGCAATATTTGAAGGCAATTGATTGTACTGGATTTTACTGACGGTATTGGAGAAAGCTGAATTTTAATGCAAGCCACATTTTTCAAATTTTTACTTGCAAAACATTCTGAAAGCCATGGTTCATCCCCCCCCCACCCACTTCACTATTATATGCAACGTTGTGCAGGTTTGTCACAGAAAATCCCAACAAAATACACTGAAGTGTGTGATTGTAACATGGCAAATTGCTGAAGGGTTCAGTGGGGGGAATTAATACTTTTGCAAGGCTCTGTATATGAGCGTTGTGACATTACAATCTTAAGCAAATAATGTGCGTTTCTGTGATTAACTTGCTTGAAACAAAAAAAATGAGCAGGAAAAACTAATGACGTGAAGAGAAGCAGCAGGTGAGACGTGCAGACTGCCTCTTCAGAGACATCACAATGGGATCGGAAAATTCGCATGGCAACCAGCTTGTTGTCATGGCAATCATATGACGGCACACTGAGTAGGTAAACAAGGATGCTGGTTGCCAAGGGCGACTGCTGTGTTCTTTGGGTAAACAAAGAATTAGTGCCAGAGGATGCTTTAGTGGCTTTGTACTGCCCTCTAAATTGTCTCTACAGATACTGGCATGAAAACCAGGAATATGAGCACCAAGTATGAGTAAAAACGTTAGAGAAGAAAGAAATGTACATTGAAGAGAGTAATGAAGAAGGTGGCAGGGGCCAGATATGGAAATAAGTATGTGGCAAATCTATACTGTGCTGATTAAAATTCCCTTGAGCCTGGTTAGGCAGTCAAACTGTACTCCAGTTTGTCTTTGTCTCTCTCCTTTACACAAGAACAGCCGCACACTCCTTTCATGTCAAATTATCCTCTAATTACTCACGTTCCAAATAAGACTTAATTAACAGCAACCATCTGCAAACGTGTAGATGTAAAGAGGAGCCAGGACTCGCGCCGGAGTGCGGTTTGATCTATCCTGCTGCATACTAAGAAGATTCCCAAGTTGCTGTGTCTCTGAGGAAAGTGAACTTGCATGTGGGGCGATGCATGAGGGCATATATGTGATGCTGCATGAGCACACACACACACACACACACACACACACACGCACACACTGAGTGAAAGCCCGGTTTCCACTCATGCACTCCTGACCAAAACCTGCATGCAAACACAAGCCCATTTACACGCTGTGGTGTCAACAGAAATACTATAGACACACAGTGCATGTCACTTATCTATGCAAACACACACACGCACGCACACACACACGCACACACACACACACTGAAACAGTTTTACGGTACGCCTTTCCAGTGTCTCACAGCACCCGACCTTTTGCTCACACAGAAACAAACACATACTACACACTTACAGTTAATCTTACTCCCTGCAGTAATGCGGAGAGGATTGTACCAGGATTAGAGGATATTAAATCCTTGGATTATCCAATCAAATCGTATTTTGCCCCCTCCCCCACCCACGCAAAATCAGTGGAACAAACCATCCAACGTGATGAAGGGGGGGAAGTGGTAGGAAAAAGAAACTGTACAGACACAAATCAAAGCTGCAGCTTTATTTTGTATTTGCTTCTCTTTTCCCATCAAAAGTATTTCTGCACAACAGGAAGGAAATATTCACTTTGACACTTAAAAAACAACAAGGCCACATACATTCATGTGAGATGCCCTCTTGAATCCTCTGTAAACGCTTATGTTCACACCTCCTCATTCCCCTTTTACTCTCCCTCGGGACGCTTCAACCTAACAATTTCAGAAGTCCATTTTCCAAAATGCCCAAGGAATGAAAACTATTTTTATCCCCACTCCACAATCTCGCATTATTTCTGCCTCTCCTTGACTCCTTGGTTCCTTGCTCTCCACATCCA